GGGCCATCTCCTCAATGAATTCTCTGGAGCTGAATGAGCTTATACCTCAACTCATCAGTTCAATGGAGGCACATACAAATCTCTCTCCTCTGCAAAGATGTCTACTTTAAAGAAATAGCTAAGAACTTAACAGTCACTAGAAGCGCTACTCCTCTGGCAGATCTGAACATCAATCTGCAGTCTGAAGAATTATTTTGAGGAACGGAGAAAGGGAACAACACAGACTCAACAAGCTATGGGAGAACACATACGCTACTAGGGTTTATACAGATGGCTTTTACAAGCAGCAGGCGAGGCTACAGTGCACTGGGTGATACACATGTGTTACCAAGCAAGTGCCCCTCGGCTTTTGACACCTTTCAGACATAAGTCTCTCATGCAGTGCTCCATGTGGAAAGATCTGGGTGCTGCACCTCTACAAAGGATGTAAGGCAATGAAAACCAAGGATGTGGCAGGACACGACATGGGAGGTGAAGGGTGGATTCCCTAAAAGCTCAGAGCACAACTGAAGTGCTCTGATCCAGGCTAGCACACAGCAGAAACAAATACGACTATGGGCAGTAAGCCTATCTCAGGCTTTTTCTCATTTAATTTCAGATTAATCACTGAGCATTTGCATACAAGCTTGGAAACAGAAGCAAAGCTCTAGTTCGTTAACAGCTAAGCAGGGATACTGCTGCATAAGCAAATACCATGCAACTGAAGGAGGTGGAGAATGGAAATAGCTTTTGGCTGCTGCCTCAGGTTTCTGGTGCAGACCAAGAAACAAGGAGGCAGAACAGTTCAAGAATCACTTTAAGCTGTGCAGGCTGATAATAACCTCTAAAGGCCCATAACATACCAGTGTTCTCTAGCAATATGGAACAATACCTTCTGATTCCAATATGAGTGACACCAAAACAAGGACAGTTGAGCAGCTCATGCCAGATTTGTGTCATCTGAGAACAGCGTGGGCTCAATAACGCCTGCGAGGCCAAGGATCTGACTCCTGCTGTGGTTTGGGTAGGTTTCAGCTCCTCGCAAGAACAAGGTATTTTGGGAAAGCCCTCCTGCTAAAATGAAGTTTCCTGGAGCGGGAGCAATCTGGGCAGCTGGAGGGATCACACATTAAAATGGCACCTTTCTACTTCTCTGCAGATTATGTTTTCATTAAAGTCTTAAGTCAAAGATAGCTAAAATACTATGTCTGGTTTTGTTCTGGTTGATTTGGTGAATTCAGCTGAGTTTGGAGCAGATACAGAATAATCCTCACAACTACAAGCACTTGATCAACTGAACAAGTTGACATACAGCTTGCGCGGAGAACAGACTTAACAGATTTCGGGAGCTGGAACCGCCTTTTCACTTTAGACTTAGTTCTTTATAACAGCCTCAGGGAAGCCTGAACACCACCCACACCCACCACCTCTTACACCAACGGGCTTGCTTGGGACAATGCTGAGGCACTATTCATCTGTCAGCTTTCATGGGCAGTAATTAAAAAACCTACAATTTTTACTTTGCAGTCATAATGGAGTTCATATCCTGTATCAGTGCTGCTCATCTGACTCCCCTGTCGGATACAAGAGATTTTGTGCAAGAACACAAATATTACTTTCTCTACTTCTATTTAAGCCTGTTACTACATATAGCAGTTGTAAATAGTGACGACCTGATTAAAACCTTAATCTCATGTAATAGTAATATTAATCCCATGAACTGGTACAGAAGTTGCCCAGCATCTTATTTGTGTTACTGGTTTCAGGATTATGGTCAACTATGTGTAAGCTGTTTCTAGGGCATTGACTGGTCCAGACAAATAGATTTTATTTTCAATACGGCAATATCATACAGCAGTAAAATAAACCTCTGCATTATGAAATTAGCTGCTACACTGCAGAAATAAGCTATTACCTAATTTACTAATGACCCATGAGAAACAAACTCCATATGTATGTTGTTTCTTAGCTACTGTTCTAGAAAGCAGCTCAATCTGTTAACTGAGCACACTAAATACCTAATTAAATTAAATCTCCAACAAGCCTGAGAAAAATGTATTGAAAGCACTCTGTTTGATTACAGACATTGGTCTAAAGTAACAGACCTATTGATCTGGTCAACTTCAAGCTTATTCGCTTCACACAATTCAATTTGAGAAGAATAATAACTAAATTTTAGTTGAGTCTCCTTTCTCACTCTCCAGGGAAATAATCTGAAGTGACTTTGAGTTCAGGTGGCATACAGAAAATATTTAATAGGTCAAAGAAAACATTTATTTTATTGCACTATGGACACAAAGCTACATTAAAAATGCAAATACGGTTTCCAGTGCAACAATTACATAGTATTGCTGACAGGATCATAAGCCATGAACAAACTTCTCTGGTGCAGGCAATAAACCAGTTGTTCTGCAAGTTCAGGATGATATTAAAAACCGTATTTCAATAAAGTCCTCTATAGGTGCAAAATAATGAAAACAATTTGGAAAAAAAAAAAAAAAAAAGCCCTGCCAGCTGTGCCTGAAAATAGAGGCTGCTTGATTTTGTTATGCTTTGTGCCAATCCAACATTAACCCTTCGTCTACTGAGAAAGAAATCATCAGTAGTACTGGGGAAGAGACATCAGTAACCCATGCAGCATCCCTGCTAACAGTTCCAACAGACAGGCCAGCAACTACTAGGTCAGCGTGATTAACACACTGTCCTTTCAGTACTAGGCCCCAGCTATATTAAGGAAATTGTGAAATATTAAATAACATAGCCAGTACTTGTGTGGTTCCACAAATCCTTGGTTCACTGGGGATTCCAATATAGACTGATCAAGTCAAGCAGTATCCACATACACCGAACTACACAGCATTTTCCTTTTCACCTAATCCAACCCTTTGCTACTGCTGTCAGCCAGACAAAATGTAACAGTTCTGTGCAGACACTACAGCTAGCTCTAGACTTAATACAGCTGTATTAACCGGAAAAATTAAAAGTATGCTTTTTTGCCTTCCTTTGGATACAATCCTAATGTAATGATCCTTAATAGGTATTACTGCATAGTCACACATTTCATTATACAAACATAATTTTAATATTTTAAAGTTTCATTTTCAAAGTAGTTCATCAGTAGCCTTTCTCCTTACTGTTTCTTCAGACCACAATCCTCTTGTCTGTTAGACAACTCATTGTCTGATTTCTGTCCTAATATAGCCACGAGTGGTTTATACTAATCTGTTCTTGCTCTAGTTTTGTCCCTGAGTTTGAAGAGCCATTAGCTCCCATTGTAATTTCCTTTCTCCAGCACTTGCAAAGAGAAATTTAATTCAGATTTTGCTTTGAATTTGAATTCAGGTTCAGACAATCTCTTTAAGTCACTTCTCTAAGTAAGCTGCCCATTTCTCTGACCATCTTCTACATCTTTTTTTGCCAATTTAAACTGAATCCTTTCAAGTGTAAGAACCATTTCAACCTTTTCAAATCTAAGAACTATGTATAACATTTCAGATCAGATCTCACTACTCTTTATACAGTCTTTCCAAGCCCCAATGGAAATAACTTACTTGGTCTATCACAGGATTGAATTTGCCTTGCCACCATGCATCAATGGCTCAATCATGCTGATCCCTGAGAGTACAAACACCAATTCTTTCCCCTTTTCTGTTTTTCAATTGAGTAGCTCTTGACTGTCAGCATAAATTCTTGTTACTAATCTTTTAAACACTTTAACTTGCATTCCATACTTCTCAAAATTTAAATTTTTCCTACTAATTATATCCTCAAGGCCATCAATTTTTTTCTTGTTTGGTATCCCAATATTGATCTGTATCATCTGTAGTGTCAATAACTACATTTGTGTAGGTAAATTTCACAATTACACCCTTCTATTTTCTGCCTGCTTGCTCCCCCAATCCTGCAATAATTCGAGTGCATAAATGCTACTTCCGTAGTTCAAGCAGTACTACTGCCTCTGTTTAAAAAGTCATCTCACTATAAAACCAGTCCAAAAAGTTCAGGATTGAAAACTACTTACACTTACGGTATATAAGAAAACTAGACTTTACAAAGCAAAGTTGAAGTGGTCTTGTTTTATACGATAGCAGATTACTATTCTTGCTTCATCACATACACCCCTTTTTAGTGTTAAGACAGGCTAGCGAACCTGAAAATTCCAAGTCTCACACAATGCAGCTTCATGCTAAAATGATACAGTCACTATAGAACAATGTTGTTTTAGAAACACAGTATTTGCATTAAAGCAGTCTATCTGCTGCCAGTAAGTGAAGAGCAACACTTTCAATAACTTTTCTGAGATACAGTGGTCTAAATTGTCACTCAAATTCAACACAAACTTGAAACTGCCTGTTTTAAAACCAAAATTATTTCCTACCTAGCCAAAACTCTGCAGATTTAACAGCAACAAAATTAACAAATTTTGAAAGTAACAGAGACTGAGGTATCATTCTCTTGGATCTTTGTGAACAAATTTCTACTTTTTTTTACTTTGGACTCCACATAAAGCACAAGGCCTTTATCTGACCTTGCAGCACCATAAAATGCAGACAAGGAAGCAGGACATGGCTGGGACTATTCATTGTGCAGTTCTGAGAATTATTACCCACTGACAGGAGTCCTGCTCTTTTTCTTTCCCCTAATCACAAACTGAATTCCCATCAAAAACAAAGAAATATTTGCTGTTTACAGGAAAAAAAAATGCCTCACAGGAAAATTCCCTAAATGAACATCTGCTTTCTCTATAGGCAAGCTACATATGCTTCCTTGTAGATGAATATCAGGTTTTCTGTTAATACATGATTTCTGACACCAGGTTGTTGTACACCTTGACTGTTTATCACACACTCTTCTTCAATTATGTTCCTTTTGCCCTATTTCTGTAATTTGTATAGCTCAGCTTTAAAAACAAAAAGGCCTACAGGCAGTAAAGGAAGAGAGATTAAAGAGAAGCTTGTTCTGGTGACAAAATTACACAGGCTAGGAGGAGGAAGAAGCCATTGTCTATGCAGCAGACTTACCCTTCTACGCAGTCTGTCCCTTTCTTCACGAATAGCGTTCATGGTGGCCTTGGTCCTGTTGAGTTCCTCCTCTTTGCTACACAGCATGGCTGTGAGGCTCTCATTCTCTTCCCGCAAGCCTGCTAGCTCCTTTTCCCATCGAGATCTTTCTTCAGATATATTTGGATAAAGGTCACGTCCCAGTACACCTTCAATCTCTTCTACGGTCTGCAAAAATACAGTCATCAAAAACCAGAAAGAAGCAGAGAAAGATGATTGAACAAGACTAATGGTACACAGGACAGAAACTTGTAACGGGCAACTATATATACTTACATGTATACACCCGGCCCCACAACACCATTAGTTTGCTTCTTGCTTGACAAGTAACACCAAACAAAATTATTGCTTGTTGTTTGATATTTTGACCATTTTATTAAAATACTTCATACTGACCAACACCAAAACAGAAGGAAGTTTTATAGGCAAATAAAACAGATGTCACCCATGAGCAACAGCAATCCCAGTAGTTTCACCTCAGAACACTTTAAAACAAATTAATGACTCCTTGTAACTGGTGAGCACTGCGTTTGTTGTTTCCCTGCCTGAGTAACAGGCAGAAAGAAGCAATCTATGAATGTGCATGGCATGAGGCCTTTTTTAGTTCTAGACCAACTCCACAAAAGGGCAAGGGGGAGAGTGAGACAGTGAAAAAAGAGGACTCCTCTTTCCCATGTCCCTGAGCGTGTTCTCTCACAGAGGTGACAGAGAAATAAAAGAAAATTTGCCTTGGCTAGGCTGACATTACACCAGGCTTACATTACAGCCCTTTCACCATTACACTAGTCTTACATTACAGCCCTTCTAGTGTCTAAAAAAGGCTGTGTTTCACTGGGATATACAACGTAATTCAGCATTTTCCGCCCCATCCCCTTGCTCAGAACTGTGCCTTATAGGCACCAGTCAGCACAAAGGATATTCAGCAACTTCCACTGGCTAAAACTAAACTACATGCACACACCACCAGCAAGGGAATACTGCCATGCCTAAACTTACCGTCAGACTGGTCATTCAACATGTTGAAACACAGCATAATGCTTAATGTGTCACGTACCTATGTGCAGTTCTGATTCTATTATACAGTGTATGCTGTGCCTCTGCTAAATTTTTTCACTTATGGAAGACCTTTGCAACAAGCAAAAATGCTCCAAATGTTGCTTATAAGCTTTTGAATCCCTCTGAAAGCAGTCTGCATTAAAATGGTCAGAAGAAGCATGGAAAATAAATGAATACATGATGTAACTAGCAACCTCGAAAGTTTCATTTCATTTCATTGGATAATCCAAGAACAAGTTATAGCTGAAGCCTGTATTTTGAAGTTTAATATGGAAGATAAATAACTCACGTACAAAGCTTAAAAATAGTCTACTTAGTTGTTTTATTCAAAATGACTTAATTTTTATATATAACAAAAATTGCTAACTGAAGTTTATGTTCTTAATTTGGGAGGGACTACAAGAACCAACTGGAGTACAGCTGAAAATGACAAACCAAGTTGAAAACACAATTCTGCTTTTTTCCTGCAAGAAATCTTCCCAGTGTTTTCAGCACCGTCTGACATGGAGGTACCAGTGAAATTCTATTACTTGTCCATTTTACTGAAAAGTTGGTTATTTATTGTTATCAATACATTAATATTAAAGAATGAAACGGCTACAGCATGACTCCTTAGTGGGGAGAAAAAGACATTCACACAAAAGGAAAACACCTATTTTTAACAACTAGTTCAACATGGCTCTATGGAAGAAGAAGGGACAAAAGTTTTGTGATCAAGTTCAGTTTATACTTTTAAATCATATTTTATGTCTCTCTCGCATAAAACTGCAATATGTTTAGAATCATAAACATAAAACTCCTTGACATAGTATCTACACTATAATTCTGCTTATGTACTAAGGTAGTGAGCTTAAATTACTTTTCTAGAAGAGCAATGCCTTGCAACAGCTCTGTAAGATGAAAGAAGCTGCAGCTCTCACATTAGCTTCACTAGGTCGTACAGGTCTCAAACTATGACAAGGAAAGTTATTTCAACACAACGTAAGGATGAGTTAAAGTTCTGAATAAGCTTAGGGCAGTTAATCTCACAATGTGAAAAAAAGCTCTGTAACGACAGAAACATTCCCTCTTGATGACATCAGCTTAATTTTAAAGTGTGCCCTCATTGCTGTCTTCTCCACCTCTCCCCTCCTCCCCAAAAACTCCTCTCCTCTTTCACATGCTTCCCCTGCTGTTTCCTCGCCCTTTTAATGCCAAGTTCTGCTGCTGCCTCCTTCCCTCACTCCTCATAGCTCCAGTGTTGCTATTTTTGCAACCCCTCCCTTTCCCAAGCCTCTTCTCCTCCTCAGAGAACTACTGGGGGTAAGCCTGGAGCAATGCTGAAAGAGGAAGGACTGTCACGAGGAAGCAGCAGCAATGGCTCAGCACCACAGAGGTATCTTCAGAGAGGCTGCTGCTGTTTCTCCAGACTCCATTGCTACCATTGGCCCACACAAGTACAAAGTTCAGGCAGTGACAGCATCAGCATGGGTCTGACAGTCATACTCAGGGCTGCCCTACAGTCCTTAACAAAGCTGAGAGACCTTTCTGCTTGCTTCTACGCTCCTTCATTTTGAGGTGATCAATACCCTTTTCCTGACTAAACCGTTAGCACAACTCTGCAGTTTGACAATCAACTTGCTACCATCCTTCATGGTAAATTAAATATAAATATCAAACTTACATAAACTAAAGGGTTGTTTATTTTTCTTCAAAGCAGTATTACAGAGCAGCTTTATCTGGCACACTGCTGCTCAGCAGATAAATTCAGGTATAATTTCACAGATTATAGGATTAAATTACAACATTCTGAGCATAGGTCAGGATGTCATATCATGGTAATTCCAGTCTTGTCTCTGGCACTGCCGTAAGTACTCTCTGCCTTAGTTTCCTTACAAGAGGTGTTGTGTTACAGACATGACACCAGATGAAATCAGGAATTATCAGGTTTAAAAGAAGCAAAAAGCATCAATTTTTCATAAGGCATAACTCAATGGTAAAATTCATCCCTACCAGAAGTTATGGGTTACAAAAATGTAGCTGGGTTAAAACACACATTAGATACAAACACGGAAGAAAATTCCACCCACGACTATTAAACACAAAGATATCTCTGGCTCAAGAAGTTCCTAAACCCACCTTGCTGGAAGCATACTTGAAAGAAGGAGAAGAAGGACACACCATGCGTGTCCTTTTTGATGCAGTCTTTCCATGGGCATCTGCCCCTAGACAGACGGACTTTTGGTCCATGCCTGTGCAGCTGTTCTCATGTTCTAAATGGTTCATGTTTGGAAATATTTACATCTTTTTTTTTTTAATCAGCAGAGTTTTAGTGGTAGGTATCTGTTACTTTATTTATGTAGTTATTTACTCTTCAAAATATATGAAGCATTAACCAGCCTACTCTGTGGAAATTTTCTTAAACAAAGGATAGTTTTGTAACTGTTCAGTTTATCAGACAACCTGATAAATCTCATTGCAAGTTCTTTTCATTCTTTGTGGGACAGAAACAGTTGAGCTAGTTAGGGTCACATGATTTTTGCATAAAAGAAGCAAAAAAAAAGAAATACCAACAATAGCACTAGAAGAAATTCACTGAAAATTAACCATCAAAGCAGAAGGATTCAAAACATTTAAATACATTAGTCCACCTGTGAAGAAAAAAACCAAAAGTCAAAGCAAAAGACAGTCAGAATGTTTCATTTCATGATTCCACCTGTTTCAAAAACCTCTTAGTTCTATGCCTGAGGAAGCAGGAAAGAAGAAATGACCTGCAGCCATGGGTGGCATTGTGGAGAGGGGCTCCACATGTAAGTTTAGCTATATTAAAGACATTGGTGACACACTTCCCCAGCACATAACTGGAGCATGTCAGAGAGATTCCTGTCTTCCTGAAAGGTTAATAACCTTTACATGCTATCACTTGTCGAACACAAACAACCCCAGGCTCTGCAGCCCAGGCAGTGGGGAAAAGCCTTCCCCAAAAACAGCTATGCATGTAGAGATCACATGAAAACAAAAGGCCTGCATTTTGGACCACGAAGAAGCTGCCTACAGTTACTTATCATTACAAAAGCTTGATTGTAGTTAATTTGTATCATCAGTAAATAATTGGGTTAAAACAAAAAGCTTGAGAATTAAGCTTATGGCAGCTATTCTGACATTCTGTTGAATCCACCTCCTGCAGAAGTTTTCACCTCATCCCACTTCAGATGACCCCTGTGGACCTCACACAGACCAATCTCTACCTGTTTTCCATGATCCACAATCCCTCTCTTTGTGAATACTGACTTCTGAGAACACTCAACACTAAAACTCCTGATAACGCTGGGTAACATTCAAAGCATTGATCCTAATCCTCCACGACACTGAAATAAACTCCTTTAAGACCACTCCCAAGAGGCCCAGAAGTCATTCTCTCTCTCTCTCTCAAATATACCCACGTTCTTCAAACTACTAGTCAACATTAATTTCTTTATAGGTCATTATATTCCTCAGGCACCACCAGGGACAGAGGGGACCTTTCCCAGTAGTATGCTAAAGGGCTGTCTAAGCTGTCTAGAATGGTCACAGATCTTCCCACTTCAAGAGCAAACTGTCAATACATTTGTTATGTAGAAGTCACTTATGCCTTCCCATCTGACACAAAAATTTTGATCAGCTCCTGTCCTGCATATAGTTAAGGTACTCTACAGTTCCCTCACTTTCAGGTTCTGAATTGCAGTCCCTCATTAGATGTACTATCAGGCATCCCTCTTCTTGTTCTGTTACATGCACAATAAAACCAACACATATATAAGTTGAATTACCTGTTCCTGTGTCTGGCTTGTCTCATTAGAGTTAATACGCCAGACATGGTTTCTGTTAAATACTAGCTTCACATTTTAAGACAGCAAAGTAACTTACACACAGTGTATGGCAGTTGATCTCCAAATTTCAGTGAGTACTACATACTGTGTTTTCAGTTTCCGGTCAATGACTAGCTGCGTGACCTTCTACCAGTGACAACTTGTTTGCTGGATAACCTTCAGAAAGTAGACTAACTGCTGAGTGTCCCCATTTCTCTTATCTCTGAGATGAGCATAAGACATACATTTCTGATTCGAGATCGAAAGTCTACAAGTAGCTCCTCCTGTGCCTTGGAGAATTCAGTTTAAAACAGGTGTACTACTGTTTACCCAACACATACTGTGAGCTGGAGCTGATTTCTGTGAAGTACTTTGACACCTTTGGAAGTAAAGTGCTGTTACTACAGAATGTGATCAGGTGTCTCAGGCAATGTACATGCTGCATTTAAAGCCTAATGTTGCCATTACCTTAATGGCTAAATCACAGTGTTCACTGGCGGTAGTGAGTTGTTCAATATGTCTATCCACTTCTGCTACTGATAAACTGCAGCTGCTTTTCTTCCTCCCGCAGACAACATTTTCCAGACCTGTCAGCACTCTTTGCAGTTCTGAATTCAAGTCACTACAGTTATCTAAAAAAAAGCAAAACAAAATAAAACAAATATTGCATGATTAGTGACTCAGTGAAAAAACAAACTAACACAGGAAGTGCCTGTTGCAGAACAGACAGGACTGATACCGTTCAAGGAATGTCCTTGCAATCTGCTGCTTTTTCCTCACCGACAGGCTTAAATACCATAACCACATCAACTGAAGTAATGAGTTACCTCCCACCTGAGAAGTAACATTCTCCCTACTTATCTGAAGTGTTCGAAAACCTCTCTTTTCTGAAGGACAACATTTTAAGTCACCATATGCTCACATACTATGACATTTCTTTTTTGTTATTCTTTTTGCCATTCAGGGCCTGTTATCTTGATTTTATTACCCTCAAAGGTTTTTCTCTATGAATTCAACATTTTTTCTGCCTGGTATATTCATGACATTATGACCTGACTTTGCAGAGCAACTTTTGTGGTTGTACTTAGGCACTGCCTGATTTAAAAAATCCTGGTGTTTACAGAAACAATCTCTACCAACTACCTTAGAGCCCATGTTTCATTTTTTATAGCTATTTCTTCTTCAAATGCAATTGCGGAATATTCAGGGATCATAACAGCACACCTTGTCTTTGCTAGGTTCCATACTACAACCACATCAGCAAAATATACAGCAACAGTATTTTAATTATAAAATGTGGCAGAGAATCACTTCCTTTTCTGTCTTTAGGCAAAGCTCTTCTAGTGCCTTGGGCACTGCCACAGCATCCTCCACTTTTATGAAAACAGGTAGGTCTCAGTACCTTGCTAGCTCACTTCATAAGTTTTCATTTTTCTTAGGCTCACATTTGGCGACAGACAGTGGCAGTTCCTCAGGCAGACAGGTGGTAGAATTCATCCTTGTGCTGTCTCTCAGATGTCCTCATTAGTATTTCTGGCTTACTAGTTAAGAGTCTGCAGTAACTACGAACTACAGCACAGAAGTGGTGCACAATGAGACAGAAGTGTACCAGCAGTTCCTATACCCTACTAAAAACAATGGCAGGCATTCTTGCTGCACCGTGTTATTTCTGTACTACTGCTGCAAGTGTTTCACCAGGCTCAGAAACCCTGAGTAGTCTCCTAGCTGTGGTTCTTATAGGGGATTAAAGTTGTGTGGCATTGAACTGTGTCTGCAATCTAACAGACATGAGAAAACAGATTATTGCAGACTGCCTTGAAATCTGTCTGTGCAAGAGAAGACCAAAAGCTTCTCTTGGATGAAGGGATAAGATGATCAGAAAGTAAAAAACTATAAACTCGTTACCACAAATCTAACTCCATGGCCTAAAGCACATAAACATGAACCTATTATTGACCAAAAAGAAGAGTTCAGAATGATGTCACAGTATTGTAGGAGAAATGTGAATAGGCAACACACACACAAAAGGACTTATTTAGACAGAATACAGAAACAAAACCCAAGAAGGACAGAAGCTATGTGTAGAAGGAAAACATGGAAAAAATACAAGAATCTCTAGAGTTAACATTCTTGTTTTGCCCATGCTATATTTCATTTTATGGCCACGTTTCCCACTTAGCAGAAACTTAACTGGATAACTTGCTGTTAATGTACACAAACCCTGCTTCAGCTCCACCCCATGAAGAAGAAAATTAAATCCCTAACCCCAAAATGAATGCTGAAAAGTAAATTAGTCTGAATTTTCAAATTGTCAAAAGAAAGGAAAAATTAAGAAAGAAATTTAAAGGAAAAAAATCCTCATGCCAGAATCTGTTCAAGTAGCAACTTAATAATAAGCATTAACTTCTGAAAGTAAAAACATTCATTTTTGAAGAATATAAAAACATTTACTAAAATACCTTGACTCCATACAATATTTTGTTAAGTATACTTCGAATTCCATATGTCAGACACTTCATGATCACATTATTATTAATATTGTTCTATCAATGTTTCTAGAAATTAAAGACACTGAAATACAAACGTGCTGTGGCAGGTCTTGCATTTATTAAAAAACACAGCTCCAGAGCTGTTGTATTAATTTCAATTTAAGAAATCACAGAGAAAATGTCTTTTATACGGTTGCTTACAATATCAATATATTTCCTACATTATTAAACTCTGCTTCAGGGCAATGAATACTATGCCCAAAATTCAGCCTACTCTCAGGTCCATTCCTCTAAAAGGCACTGTACCGGAAAAACCAGCAAAAAATTCTCAATAATTAAGTGCACCACTCTAAACAAGTGGAAACTCTTTTAATACAGTTTCTTATGTATGGAAGCAAACATTGCATGTTACACTATAACCATTAAAGCCTCATGTAGAGTTAATAGCTTAATATTTAAGAATCACAAGTTCAACAGGGCTTAAGACTGCTACTTCAATGACTTCCTAAAACACTGCTTGTGTACAGTATCACCCACAGAAGCTCCCAGGCACCCAGCTAGTTAACCTAGAGAAGAAAATGAAGACCAATGATTTGGTTTTAAATATAAATTAAGAGAAACAGTATTCTGAAGAGAATTCTACAAATCAGTTGTACTGAGGATTACACGAGACTTTGCTTATCTACAGCTACAGTACTCAGCAATTGTGCCCAAACACTTTAATCATTATCATACTGAAGGCCTAGTATCTGCTCATGCTTATATTGCAAACTTTATGGAATAATTATTCCATATTTGGAGGTTCTTCAAATGATCAGTAATTGTGCCTGGATGACAAAATAGACTAAATTCTGAAGGAAAGATGGTTGCCCTCTCAGTTCTTAACCAGAAAAAAAATGAGTTACAGACTCTCTAGAGGAGCTCCCTCCTTGCGCTGCATTTGAATGGCTTGTGTCAGATTTGTCCTTGTCTAAATCCATTTCAGTAAGCTATCCCTATTCCATACTTGAAAAAGGCTCTCAGTTTTTGAAAAGGGCAGATCCTTTATAAGTAGTCTGTAAAAGAACTGGACACACAGTTCCATTCCCCATGCTTTTTCCCCCAACTTTTACTCTGTCTGCAATTCTGTTCTAGAGTTAGACTACTTTACAGGCACACGTAAGGTATGTGAGTAGCTTTTTCCTCCTTCTTTCCAAAAGTCATGAGCTCTCCTGAAGAATCATTCCATTCTAGAGTCCACAGCTACTCTACATCAAAGGCATAGAGGCTACTTCAGACATTAAGTTCATAGTTGTGGAGAAGGTCAACATTTGTTGTGATTAACACAGCCTAGATTCATTTATTTCCTCACCAGGAGTCTGGATTTGCATTTCAAAGAGAAGGCATCATGTCTACTAAGAAGTGTAACTTACCCACGTCTGCGGTGACCATGGTGGACTGATTCTCTGGTACTGAAACAGAATTCTGGTCCATGCTGCGCGAGTCTTCGTTAACCTCATGCTGGCTTTGGCTGAGCTCTGACCGCAGCTCTGAGTATTCATCTTCCTCCCTGGGAGAGAAAGCAAAGGCAGAAATAAAATCCTCTGAGGAAATACATATCTCCATGACACTTACTTCAGACCTGTAAGCTGAGCCACAAGATACAGTCCACACAAACATAAGTGTTTTGTCCAGGGTTTATATCCTTCATCGCAAAGCAACTGTTCTATGCCCATAACACCCACTTGCAGCAGCCAGTGCCTGGTTTCCATTTCTTTGTTCCCAAGTTCATTACTACTCCAGACCACTGTACAAGGAAACAAGGGGTGGAACTGAGTGCAAGCAAGGATGTGTGCAAGAAGGACATACAGTCCTCTGCAATAACTCCCCAGCCGTCAATTCTTAATCAGCACAAGTGGCTTTTGATCCCAAAGTGGATTAGCAATAACCGATTTTGGTCTCTTTCTCAGTCTGAGGATGCCATCGGCTTGTGTGCAAAACACTTCCCTGCATATAGGTATCAAAGTGCTCCTGCAGACAGGTAGGTTTTTCATTTTCTCTTCCCAAAAGGAAGAGAACAGATAAGTGAGTACAGTGCTGAACTGCTGGAGTTAGTGGAAAATAAAAAGCCCCAATTACCTAGGTTTTGACTTATTTGTCAAGCTGGTTCTACTAAAATAATTGAGGTCACAGAATACTTTAGCTAAAGCTAATGAGCTTAAAAAACTAGGGCTTTTCCCTCCTGTCTCCACATGAAGAGTTCAAAGCACTGGGAAAGAAGATAAGTAAATGAATAATAGCTTTGCCCGAGAACATTTGTAAACATTTTTTCTTTTGATCCATTTGCTGATTCAGCTCAGAATTTTTTTTTTTTTACTTCCATAGTGACTGTTTTGACATTAAAGTATGTATTTTAAACGTGAGAAAAACACCAGCTTATCCAGGTGCAGAGCCCCTCTGATAAGTAAGCAAACGGCTATCATTTAGTTACACACTAAATCAAACGCAGAGATTCATTTTGCTGCAGATTCAGCAGAAAAGTGTAAGAATGTAACTGTCTGGATTTGGAAACAGTAAGAAATAGCAAAGACCTATCTGGGGATCTCCATCTGGGAGGGGCACCTGTAATGTTAAGTCTGCTGTGTGTATGCTACATGGTGATGAGTGTTTCTTGCAGAAATATCGCAGGATTTAGCCTGGAGGTGTGTCTGGATTTGCTGGACAAAATGGCAGAGAAGATGGTCCACACATAAAGGGAACAATGACAGAAGTAAAGTCTGCTCTCAAAGTAGCAGAGGTGACAACTTGTGAACAAGACCAACTCAAAAAAGGAAGTTCAGCTTGCTTGCCAAGCAGGGTTTCCCAAGGTACTGAGGCGCAATTTCTACAGGAACTATTATGCTCTTCTACCCCTTAACATGTGCTTTGGTGCAAAGAAAGTCTAACTTTATAAGAAGCACTCAGTGACTATTTTGACAACAAAAATGCAGGTCCGCTGCTTAAAAATGGGTATTTCGATCAAAGAAAGGTCTTTGAGGTATGCAATACATGTTTAAGAAGTGTGAGAACTAAATCATGAATAGCAGGAATTAAAGCAGTGTAATGAAGACACATAAGTGTGAGTTAATGTTCCATGAACTCATTTATTATTAGCCACAGCACAAGCCAGTAGTAATTAGCTTTAGACAAAAACAATTACCAAGCACTCAAACAGTTGCATTTTTTTGATCTGAAGGTAATTAATTTTTTCATTTACGAACCAATTAGTCCTACATTTTTTAAAACCTGAATTACCTCTGCAAATGGACAAGAGGCTGTATTAATCATAAAACAATGCCACTCACAATAATTTCTCAGCACTCTTCTTTTGGCTCTTGTTGCATAGATTTTTTTTGTTTAAAATCCAACACAGCTTCATCTAGCTAGCACTAGTGCTGTTTTTTCAGTTTGAGCACCCTCAGTATCTTGGGGCAGTTGAAAAGTATGTCATGCAGCAGGACTCACACCCTTCCAACAGCTCAAACCAGAAGTCAGTTTCTGAATGAACTAATGGTCCTAAGACTTGACCAGAAAGATCAGAAATCCACTTCTGGTAAAGCGACAGCAAAGGTCAACTGGTCTCTCCACACTCATCTCATTAGGGGGCAGACTGAGGGCTAAAAACACAAGGGGGAATTCAGGGGGAGCGATGCACCACAAACACAAATTCTGCCTTTAAAACTGAAGTTGGCAGTGACAGAAGATAATGTTTGATACTCCTCTTTCCCCAAAACAGGAGTCATCCAAATACAAGGTGCTCAACAACTGATGATGACTAGCCACGCAACTCCTGCCACACCAGGAAAGCGGAGGCATAACAACTTCCTTGTCACTGCCATCATCTAAGGCCTGGCTGGAGAAAGCAAATATTTGTTCTCCTGTAGGTCCTGATGTTTCCCAGTTGCTGGAATGTCATGGTGAGTTGGAGGCAATTAAGACCAGATCAAGCTGTTCTAAATACAGAGAGGCCTGGGATCAACGTTGGAGCAAAAAAGTGTGGTTTACAGGTATGTCTGCACTTATTTTCCTCATGTTCAGGGTGCAACCAAGGATCACAACTGCTGCACAGACACTGCAAAAAACTTGATTAACTAGTGAGCAAAATAGCACGCTTTCAGCATCCTTTCATATCACTGACAAGTTCTGCCAGGACGCTGGCAAGGTGCACAGTCTCTTCAGAGCTGCAAACTGCATAGTTTCGCACTTTAGATGCTAGCAGTTTTGTAACAATCTTTTTACTTGAACAGGTATTTTTAAAGCACGCTGGGACCTTCAGATAGAAAACACTACAGGTGTATGTGCACTGCAACCCAGAGATTGACTGCTCCCTATGTGCATGCACTTGAGGTCCCTCTGTAATAGTTCACATGTGAAGAGATAGCGACGCACCAGAGACAACACAGGAATTGATCACCGAAGGCAGGTGTGGCTGGGCATTGTATGCTGAAGCCAACACTATCACACCCATATTGCCATTTGAATTTAATCCAAGTAGCTTCCACCTAGCACATATTTAGAAGCAAGAAACAGACCTCCAGGTCATTGTGTGAATATGACCATAAGCACCATGTGTTACTTCTTGTGGTGCTGTAGTCTATTTGCTCTCCTTCTTCATCATTAACTCCAACACAACCTACTTTCTGAATATATTTCAGATTAAAAGCTGTAAGTCTCAAAAAAATAGTTTTACAGTAAAGGGTTATGAGCTTCTTGACAACTGTTTCAAAAAATCCTTAGCAGGACCAATATTCAATGGAGTATATTTCTGTTTGGTACTGTTAAAGTTGCTTATTATTTTTGAAGTTGCATAGACGTACCCAAACAGCCACTGGTTTAGAACCAAAAGCGATTTGATGTCTTCCTTTTTCCATTTGCTGAAACTCAATCTGACATCTAAGAAAGATTGTCGGTTATAGGCTGAAGTTGTTTCCGCACAACCAAGTTACAGGTGATTTTACCAGCCAAAGACACGATTAAGAAAAAAAGTGTTGATTTTGAATTATGAATCTAAAGCAATACTAAAAAATTCTAAAGTCAGGATTTAACTTGTCTAAGTCTACTTTAACGCAGACCTAATTCCTTTTCAGCACACTACTGTGTAATCTGTAAATCCTTTCTGTGCTTCAGAGTTACTGGGTGTACCCTTTATGTCCAAGTATTTGCAATATGACCCTACAGACAGGAAGATCCTGGCTTTGCTGTCTTCTAAGTTGTACACACTTGGGAGAGAAAAAGGGAGTAAGCATACACCTTGTCAAAGGACAGAGAACCTTTGCAATGCAAAAAATCTGTCTTCTACAAATTGAAACAGCAGAAGTAGGGTAAGACTGCCACTGGCATCCATTTGACATGCTAATAGGAACCCCAAGCTAGCACCGCTCAGTGAAAACTGTCCACTCTAAAAGATGCTGACAAAATGTGCTCTGCACAACCATCATAGGCTCTTTTGCCCAACAGTCTTGCAAAGTTTCATGAAAGCCTGTGACTTGAGCTTTACAACAAACTTGAGCAAAACACTAGCCGCCTCCTCCCACACTCTCCCCCTAATAGTGTAGACAAGATCAGAGACACTGTCACATAATTATAATTTTCCAAGAAAAAACAGACTCAATGTTTATGTCGCCTGCCTGCAAATAAAAAACCCATCCTCATCCTAGTGGACCACTTCTTTAGTGTCTTTTTGCTCACAAATTGCTACCTTCTTGAGCTGGTAGTGGCTAAATTGTGCACTGTCACACATGAAGAACTAGGCAAGCAAGAGGCTTGTCTACTTGCACATTATGAGTATATAGGCAACTCTCATTTCAGCCTTAACATCAAATCAGTTACAGCTGTATTTCAGCTTTTTTTTTTTTTTTTTTTTTTCTCTCATTATCATTGGGCTTCCAAACCAGCTGGGCTGTCCAGAGCAGCAGCAGGGAGATGAGACAATTGCAGATGAATGTTGGCTTGCTCCCACCACCATGGTGACCTCATTTTCCTTAGGGAATACTGGAAGAACGTAGCACAAGAGCTAACTTCATGTAGTCATACACATGGAACTGTTTTACCCAAGAAATGGCTAGCAAACCTAGAACAATCCTGGAAAATTCTAAAAATACTCCTGTTAGGTAACTAAGATCAGCATATCAGATATACCTGGGAAACACACAGGTATATTAACACATGACTTAAGCTCTGTTCTAGAGCTGGCATTGCTAAACTGCACGAGCAAAAAAGTCATTACACTTCAATCTGTTAAACCCATGACACTGCAAGGGCAAAAAAAAGAAAACCCACCAAAAAACAAAGAGGGAAAAATTCTGGGAATGGAGAGCATTAACTAGCTTATTATAGTCTGCCAGCACTCCTCAAACTGTTGCAAATACCTTCAGATTTAAATGCTCTTTGTGCTTACTTTCTGGGGGCACTACTCACATTCAAACAAAGATTTACAAATTTAAAGATAATACAGGTTAAGAAGGATAGTCAAAACACCCTCCATGAAACTCCAGTTTCTTCTAATTGTTTCCAGAGTATTTTGGGGTTTTGGATGGAACCGTGAAGAATGTCATAAAGCAGCAGTACATTGAGCTGCATGTTAGTGTACTTTTACAGCCTAAAAACGATACATGAAAATACTGAACAATCTCTGTGTCAGCACTGGGGAAACATTTATCTGTTATGCAATTAATATAAATGCAAGAAAACTGTTCCCAGAAAACTGTTCCCTGAATTTTGCGATAGCGGGCATCGGGCATCCCAGGAGTCAAATCAGAGTAAAATCCCTCCTGTGTCCTGGTTTAGAGGAAAATATAAATGCCGAGGCCCTAGCAGGGCCGTGCTTCCCAGAACCCCTTCTCTCAGGACTGTTTTGTTCTAGCTCCGGGTTCACAGTCCCCATAGCCAAGGGTGGAGCGCTGTGAGTCACACCTGTCCCAGCAAGGACAGCAGTTACACCACCCGTGCTTTGTGGGACAGCTTCTCAAGAGTGACGCAAGTAGATCCCAGAGCAGATTTACAGAAAGTCACAGCAGGAAGTATCATTTTTCCTTCTTTCACGTCTTTACAAACCTTATGAAATCCCTCCAATTCTATCTCTGCTTGCCATTTTTAGGAGGAATACTACTCCTCTGTTCCCCAGACACCAAATTATTGGCTGCCAAAGAAAACAAGCTATTCCAATCATTAAAGGAAATTAAAAAATCCACCAACTTAATGAACCTTTTTGTTCTTACTAATAAAACCAGAACAATTAAAAACAAAGGAGGTACCCTAGCTGCCTAAGCAAAATGAGTTCTCGTATGATAAGACCAAACAGGTGAGGCATGACAGTGGTGTGGCACCTATTGCAGCAGTATTGTTCTGATGCAGTCAAAAGCCTACACCTCCCAAAGCGGCAGCAAAACTGCACCTTTCAGGAGAAGCAGCATGCGCCACCCATCAAACTCAGTTCTTATGCTTCACTTTCCTGTGCATGCCACAGCTGACTTGTTTATGGACATGGTTAAACCTTCACAGTACCTACCTGATTCTAACATTTTGTAATTGCCCACCACTTGGCATTTAGCTTGCCACAGGGACTCCTAACAAACAATTTTTATGCATTCTATGTACTAATTTTCTTAAATCTCATAGAGTTCTTCTGCCATTTAAAATAAAAATATCAATGCAGCTCTCAAACTTCTCAGATTTTGCTTTTCAGTGAGTCTTCTCAATTGGTAGACTTCTACCAGAGAGGAGGGCTGGATGGGCAGCTAGTGTCATACTAAAAAGAAAGATGACTTGAAACAAGACGAACAGGAAGTCTGTCTGCAGGGGTACTAAGCATAAATGAACAAGGGAGTCACAAGGTTTTTTTCACAGAAGTACTACCAGTTTAGAAAATACTAACCTGAAAAATCTCACCATGATTATCACTAGTTATGACCATCTTGAAGCTGGCAGTATTTATCTTCTTAAATGACATTAACATAACATGACTCTATCACTGCTTTTACAGCAGTATACATGCGTGATGATACTTTCTCTTATTCATGGTACACCAACCCTTTTTCTTTTTGCATATAAAAATTTTCATTAAAGGTTAAATGAGTAGTAAAAACATTGCCTTGTGATAGGAGAAATGTTTACAATGAGAACGAATGAAGCAGTTGCATAGGAAAGGAAAACTGAAAATTTGCTACATGGGTAGAGCACAGCGTCAATATTACCTATGAAAAGTGTCAAATCTAATTTGACATTCTCTAGAAAATCCATAGATTCTAGCAGTTTAGTTGCATCCTCACAAGTTAAAACTTTATGAAGCTCCTTCCTCATTCTAGTCCAACATACTCTAGGTTAAGGATAATTGGTAAAAGCCAGTGAGGAAAAAGAGGTGTTTTCCTGCAGTCAAATGTAAAGTTTATTTTAACACAGTAACAAGTAGTGACCTAGCGTAACACCTCAAGCTTTGCTGCTCCAAAGACAGGCAGCAACGTGATTTGTGCCACTGCGTTTTGGCATAAACACCAGTACAGGTAGACGCAAATCCATTTGAGCCATATTTCTCACCACAAGTGATTTGGCTTAGGTGATCTATAGGATGCCATAAAATAAAGTTAAAAGCAGAGGTGCAGGCTGGGTGGCTACATCTTCCTTTATCCACCTTTGCTACTTTATCTGGTACCCTAGCATACATGTTATGCTAAAGGAATATTTAGATGGCACAGCGCAGTTCTTGGGAGGGCTTGCTAGGCTTTGCAAAGTGTGATTTTGCCAGAGAGATTGTAGCACTTCTGAGCCTGAGGACAATACCCTGCAGAACACATACCTTAATTACGGGCAGCTACACAGTACCAGTCGTAACAAGCCTAACCACCTTAAAGTCACCTTCAAATTGTATTTATAGTATAATTCACACCATGTTTTGCACCATTCTTGCATTGGCCCAGAATTTCCAGGAAGCTGCTGTACCTTATTGTTGTTCCCTGTAGTCGATCAATTTTCTTATTTAATTCAGCAATGATACTGTGCAGCTCTGTGATTCGTTCCTCGTATCGTAGTGTTGTTCGCTCCTGCACATCTTCATGTTCTCTCATTAGGTGGGATTGCTCACACTAAAGCAGAGAAGTAAAGAATAGAAAGGCTGTTATGAATAACTGCATAGAGAGCAGACACAAGGCAAAAGTGCACATCATTAACGGTTTTCTTACCCATCAAACCAACAATGCCTTAGCAATAGAAAAGGACAGATTCAAAATATTGCCAGGTACACAAAGACACATAATTACAAGATTTTAGGAACTGAAAGACTATGCAGTGTACTTTTATTATTACTTTTTTCTAAAGGGCAGAAGTTGCCCTTCCTGCTTGAACAAAAAGTGCTATTTGTAACTCAGAATAGCTATAAATGTCTCATCTTTGAATCCTGAGATTCATGATGCATCATGAATCTTCAACTATCTTCCCAATGTGGTCTGAATTAGAACAAGTCCTAAGGCAGAAACCGCATTATTATAAAGAAAAGTAACCACACTGAGGTTATGACTTCTCTAGTATGAGTATTTGTTTTTATTAGCCTTTAAAGATAACACAGCTACATGGCTGCTCGTTTTTTATATGTATCACAAAATCCTCCTTTTCCTTTCCAATAGAATTTAAATCCAGCCTCTCTGGCTTACTCTTCATTCCAGCAAACATACCAAATACAGCAAACAATTACAATCTACTGCAATGACAATCCAACAGGGCATGCTGATTGAAATTATGCTTGGTAGCGGCTAGAAAGAACAAGACTTTTAACTTTTTGCTTCTGACTCCCTGCAGGAAAGAAACAAGCCTCCTTGCAATCACAGAATGGTATGTACTATGCTGTCAATAAAAGTCACAAGCCAACTGAAAGTATAAAACCCACACTCATTACCTGAGGACCTGCTATGTAAGATCCTCACAGCATTTCTAAAGGCTACAATTTATAGTAATGTATAAGGTTCTCCAACGTTGCTGCATCAAAACTTACTTTTTCAAATCAAGTAAACACTCTATGCAGAGGTAACTCCCTCAACCCTTGGTATCATAAATATGAAAATTATACTCAAACTAGCAGGTATGCCAGAATTTTCATTAAGTTTGCCCTCATACTTTTTGGCCACTCACATTCATGGCTTGAGAACATCATCTACATAAAAGGCTGCTTGAAAACTAAAATTTACCTTGAGCTTCAGTTAGATTTTTCTTTTAAATTAATTTAAGAAAAAAAAAAAATTATTTCAATATTTTTAAGTTCCAGGAATATGCACACTGAAAGGTAGCCCAGACACTAGAGCATCCTTCCACAGACTACAACAAAACAGTTTCTTACTCCAGCTGGCATCAAAAGCACTTTCACCTACACCAAGACAAACAGACTGTATCTTCACGCTGAACAGGAGAGTAAAAAGTCACATTTTAGAACAATGATAATGTTCACCTTGCTTTTAAGACTTCATGCTGGCAACTGACATGGTTATACATGTATATTATAATGACTCTCCGTTTTAGGATCATTCCACAGCTTATTTCTCATGTCTCCATATCTTAACATCATACCTGCCTGAAGAACTACCACGGCTTTCAAAGCAGAAATAACACAGAGAAAATGTTTAACAAAAGCTTTAGAACAAATTTAAGTGCAATGAAGAGTTGCTTATTCTACTTTTCTAAACCTAAATTTTCTCTGACACACATTGATACCAATAAACACTACCTAAGCATTATCTAGATCAATCAATTATGAGCACTGTTTTTTTTCTTTTAAACCAAAAGGATGTTTCAGATGGAGTATGTAACAATTATTTTCAGACAATAAATAAACCCCCTATCACAATAATTCTTGTTTTTCAAAGCTGTGCACTGAAAAGCAGAATTTGTTTATCTTAACTGAAGATATATGGACTCTTGCTAATGGACCTCAGTCACATTACCAGACTTGCTTTCTGTTTTCTCCAGCCACTTCTCAGTCACCATTTTTCAGGATAACCATCATTTAGTGACAGACACATTTTGTGAACAACCAGCAGTATGGCAAAATAAGACAACAGCTTCACATTCGATTTTTTAAAAGGGCTCTTGGATTATCTTGGGCAAAAGTAACTGAAAAAGGCAGAAAGTAAACCTCTGTGAAAGAAGGACTCCTGTGTCTTGGAGATGGGTACAGAGTTATATCTCATAAGTTCTGGTCAGCCATGACAAGTCCCAGCGTAAAAAGGCAAAAGCATCCAAACAATAGAAATGGTTCAGCATGAATCCCAAAATGCAGCAACAGAAAATTCTTTCACTTAGACAGGATTGTTCCTTACTATGGCACACTCATCTTAAAGCTTAAATGCAAAAAAACCCCAACAACCCAAATGCATGTTTTCGTACCTGTTGCTAACTTTTTTTTTTTGGGATATTGAACCTGTTCATTATCCTCTTTAGTTTGTGTCCTTTGAGACTCAGAGCAATGGTCTGCCACCAGTTCCTATTTCTTTCCAAAATGTACGCATTCAGCTCTTGCAATTTATTTGCATGTCAGTCACACAAACTTTCAAAGATAAATACCTTACACCCTCTTCCTTATCCTTCTTCCAGCCTCATACTTAAGTTCTGATCAAAACCATTAAGAGCTCTAATTCTCTGAGAAAGTAAACACAGGGATAATCCACTGAGAGGCTGCAAAATATGTGCAATTGCTGAGGTCAGGAGAGAAGTTTTCGGCACAGCTCTCAGTGTAAGTAACCTTTGGCTGGTTGTTGGTACAGACTAAAAAGATTATTTCAATTACAGTATAAATTAACAATGCCTGGAAACACCTTTGTCTGACCTCTTGATGCTGGGAAACAACCACCAGAACAAGAACAGCATGAGGGAGAAAGATGAAAAGAGAAAATATTTTAACCCAAGGATATTGTCTCAACACATGATTCTACTGCCTGTTAATGTACATAAATTCCTAGCGCAAGAAACACTACCAGTGCAAACGTTTATGTTAAATTTGCAGTGTTCAGTCAAGAGGACAAAAGGCAGAACCACCAGCAGCAGCGCTCAGTAAGACATGCCCCAGTGCCTCAGGCCCTGGAGAGACAAACACTGGCTACGGCGCTGTTCACCAAGAATACAAGTCATCACCTGAATGAGACACAATGATAAACCTGTCTAACAGGCTCACAGGAGCTAAAAATCTTTGCTCAAATAATACAGTATAAGAGGAGTGGCAGATTTTAAAGTGGCAATCTATTAATCTTATTTTAAGTATAAACACAAGTCCACCATGCCAAATCCTCTATCGTGAAAACATGCATGGTCAGAATTAATTGTTCGGTGGTATATTCTGTGTATACTTGATGTGAAAGAAGAATATGAGTACACAGGACTAATCCATGTGAGATAAGGACATCACACCACAGAACAAGTAATTTCAATATTCCTCTGAACACTGTGCATTTCCATTTCAAGTTACTTTGTTAAATGAAAAACTGAAGTCTTCCTGCGAAGTTCAAATGTTCTTATATACCTATAAGCATTGGTTTTGTTCTTATACTGAAATTTTGCTGTCACTCCCTATATTCCAAATAATTGAAAGGATGGTAAAGAATTATTACTGCAGTAATCGGACTTACTGCTGTGAAACACAAGATCCAGAATGATGCAGCAGTCTTTGGTACCCTGTATCTAGATCCAAAATTACAAGGACTAAGCACAAAGAATGAGAGAGCAGGACTACCTTGTCAAAGGAGTTGAAATGATAAGAAAGATGTAGTAAGTGAATCGTCTATTCTTGTATTTGCTGAAACATTCAGCATGTTACTAAATCCCATGCTCTATCATAAAACTGCAGAACTCAATGTCACAGGATGTAGCAAATGCCAAGAATGTACATGGATTAGAAAGACGATGAGATAAATCCATGGAGGGTAGGACCACTGAGAACTGTTAAACGTGATGCAGCCTCCTGCTCACAGATGTTGGCAGAAAGGTGGGGGAGTATAAAGGAGGACAACTCTATATGCGTTTCTTATGCTCTCCCTTCAGACACCCACTATTTATTGTTATCAAAGCTAGGATACCGTGTCAGACAGAGCTAGTAGAAGGCACTATTTCTCATAACCACAGAAAGATTCTTGGAAGAAGACTTTAGTTGTGGTTGACCAGTACTCTACAGCAAATTTCATTCAAGAGATCACTCTGTTGCCAAATTGTACACTGATACAAACACAGAAACAAGGAGATCTGCTGTCTTACTAAAATAATAGAAGGGTGTACAAAAATGCCATAGCAGATCCCCACAGACTGCAGTTTCCAAAATGTGCACGATACAACAACCAGCAATCAATTGCATCCTTTTACAAAATTTTAAGCATAGGCTATCCAACTACTTTTCTTCACCATTTGTCATCTATTCAAATTGTGGTTCCCCAAATCACCTCCGCTCTGTAAATCACTAATCCTTTCTTCCAAAGTGTCCCACATGCCTCATGAAACGATGGCAGAGGTATTACCAAAAATGTCTTTTCAGAGCTATTTGTTCCAGACAGCATTAACCATGCCAGCTGAAAAGAAACATGCACTTGATGCAGAATAGAGATTTAATACTGACCCACTAGCATCTGAATATGGTTATGCAGAACCTCAAACACCTTATTAATTTATGCCTTCTGAACCTCTGATTAGCATTAGTGAGGAAGAAATGCACTAGACAGAGGTTGTAGAGGAAAATTATATGATGATACATGACACAAATTTGAATGAATCTCTGTGGACTGGGAGGAAAAGTTCAAAAATTTACGTTAATTGGAGCATCTACTTGGAAGTGGTGTAACTAGAAAAAGAAGAAAAAGTGGTTTCACCAGAGTCTGTCTCAGTACTTAAAAAGAGCCAACATGTTGTATGAGCTGTGCTTTTGTCGTTAAAATTTGTATCCACTTGAAGGCTTTTAAAAAAAATAAATTTAAAAGAGCTAAAACATTTTTTATAGAAATTATTCACTAAAAAGTAATTTTTCTATCTGAAAGCTTGCTAGCTTTCAGATATTCTGATTTGGTGTCATTCACAGTTCAGGTAGCAGTCATCACTATGTTTGTGTTCACAAGCACACAGCCCAAGATCATGTAAAAGCCCTCAGCATTACAAATCGAGCACTACATACACATGCACCACGCGTAACACATCAAAGAAAATAGCAAACAATCTCGCACTAACACAGCACATGCTAATCGGGATTAAAGACTGATCTTTAATCCCAGTCACCATCAATGGGGATTCATTACTGTATGGGAGCCCCTACAAGTCACTCTTCATTGTCTGAGAGAGTGTATTTTTAAACAAAGATCTGAAAACAAAACTAAACCACTAACAAAACCCTGTGGCTAGTACAAGACCCTGCAGAGTTATAAATCACAAAAAAGTCAGTGAAGTCATGCAGAACAATGTGGATCATTTGGATACAGTGGATCCACCCAACTGCTTAATGACTGTCAAATGCAGCCTCATATCAAACTGTACGGGAGAAAGAGAACTCTATGTCAGAGTGCAGAAGAAACTAGAAAAGGCTTTCAGGATCAGCTGATAAACAATGTTAACTCCCGGCATGGCTCTGGCTCACATATTGAGAGGAATAAAAACGTGAAAGTGTTTTTTATTTCTGGATGTTGCATTGATGGTCTGCATTAACAGTATCACAGTCTGCATCAAAAAATATCACTTACATGCCCCAACACCTTAAAGGTAGTTGAAAAAAACATCAGGGAATGAGGACAAGGGCCAAAATATGGTTGGAGGACTGAAGTAAGAGCCTTAAAATCTAGACTGCTTAAACATTTCTACATTTAGCTTGAGTTTAATTAATACATAGATACAAGCCTCTACCAAAATCCAATGAATATACTCTAAGAATGGTCGTGGTTGACAGGGACCTCTGGAGGTCATTCATCCAACCCCTTAACCAACTGACGGAGGGTCACCTACAGCAGGTGACCCAAGACCAGGTCCAGGTGGCTCGAGGCTTTCCAAGGCTGGAGATTCCACAACCTCTCTGGGGAACAAATAAGACACTATACTTTACAAGACAAAATGCTTTGACTGTCTCCATGTAGGTATAAGTGAGTATATATTCTGAATTAGTTTTGAAACGTAAAGTACTTATAAAAGGTATTTGCCAGAATGACAGTACTGAAAACAAAAGTTTCGTTTATAGAAGAACAATATTTCAGTTTTCCATGTTTGCATTTGCCTCTCTACATTTATCTTGATGCAAAAAGATTTTTTTTTTTAAAGAGCTGTGAAAGCATTAGAATTCAGACCTTATTCTTATTTAATCCCTTGGCTTTCACTGACTGTATTTTCCACAACAGATACATACAAACTGGCTTACTAGAAGCTAGACTGAGATCACAAATCATTTCCCACATACCACCAAAGCACTTCCAACTGGCAACAGCTTTTGATCAACATTAATTTGTGCCATGTTTGAATCTGACCCAGGAGTGGAAGGCTCTGAAATCAGTTACCTAATCCACTGAGAGAATGCTGCAATTTTTATATTCTAAAATATTTCAAAGCAGTCGCTGTTTATATCGGCTTCAGAACAAAAAAAATGTAATTCTTTCTTGGTATTTTTTATAAGAATATCATCAGAACATAAAACCTACAGCAACTATGTTTCTTGAAGTCCTAAAATTCTTTTCACATGTAACATTGTTCAGCTATTTTATCCTCTCCCCACATACCATACTCCTCTCTGAAGAACAAGGACAACACAAAATCAAAGACATCTTCAGAATCTTGAACTATTGCTCACCTGTGCTTTTGCCAATTTCTTTTCCAACAGGTCACGCTCCCTTTCTGTTTGTTGTAGACGTTTATTAAGCTCCACTATGTCTCCCTTCAATGAAGCCAGGGCTGCTAAATGAAGCTAGAATACAAAACAAAAGAAATGAATTAACCACGTTACAAGCCATGTAGCAGTAGCATCTGAAAGAAGATGCAGTATTATACACCAGCTGCAATACCTGTGGATTTCGGCAGCAGTAAGAACTTTAGTAAAAAGTCTACAAGAAATCCACATGCAACAAAATACTTTTTACACAGAATTCTCCTCTCCACCCAGCACACACATTCCTTCATCAGAAAACACATTATAAGGATAAATACAATGAAGTGTAATTCAGCTGGAAATGTGTAGGTTAGTTCTAACGTTAGTTTAACAGGATGTAGCTTGAGTCCTGTGTTATAAAACCTTACATTAAATGTTGACTCAGGTTTGTATTACAGAAGAATGTGCATCATGTTTGATTCCTTCAGTCATACAGAGGTTATCAGTTTGGTGAAGGAATAACTCCAAGCATTCGGTTTCGTTTTGCGACTGAAGCTTACTCCACTTTGAGCTACTGCTCTGTAGTTGTTGTTCTCCTTGGTCCCACGTCAGTGAGCCTCAATGATTCTAATCTACTGACGCCACACATGAAGAACCTGAACTGGTTTTCTTCTGCAGTAGATCCTTTTGACGAAAGATATGTTCTACATTTAACTGATAGCATGTGGAAATACACAGCAGACTAACTAACATAATCTAAATTACATTAGCTACATAACTTACAAATCAAGAACAATTCTTGAAAGAATCCGATATGTATGTAACTCATCCACACTCTCTTCCTGTCCTTAAATATCACCACTACACCAAAGGCGTCAGCTAGAATTCAACACTCAGTACTGAGAACTACAACTAAAAAGTCCTGGAGGAAAACTAGCCACTAATACTAAGTCTTTCTTTGTAGTAGCAAAGAAACAACTCCAAGTTATTCTGGGTGAGAAAACAGAAGTTAATTTTCACACTGGACCAAGCAATAGCAAACACCACTCTGCTGCCAAGATTCAGACCAAAACACATACACTATTTCTAGTCCTCCAGCCAGTTTCAGTCCTTCAACTCTGACATTTTATTGGGTGGGTCACTTTTAAGTTATTTTTCTTGTTCCATTTCCAGTCAATCTGTTAAGGAGTCCTATTTTCATATCAGTTTTTACCTTTACAATACTGGAAGCCAGCAAAACCATAGGTGTTTTCATGTACTGACACGTGAAAGCAGCTGTATGACAGCTGAGAGACTAAATCATTTGGCAGCAGCTCCTTCACATACAGTATTCCTATTGTTATAGAAAAGGTCACCTCTGGCTTCAAGACAGAAAAAAATTTTATAAAGATTTTTAGATGCGACTTCTGGAGTTTTAAGTACAGTGTAACTAGTAATGCTAAAAGCTCTGGACACCCCCATTTGGGAGTTCAGTTGAAAGCACTTTTATTATGTCAATACGAAAACATCTTACAATTGCAGTTACTCACTTCAGTACAAATACACATGTACATAATTTTATGTTGCAGTAGGTCTAAGATTCTCGAGACAGACTCATTTTTCAAGTGAAAAAAACAGTAATTCCGGCCTGCTACAGGCATATGCTACATAGCTTCTTTCAGATATGTACTGTACACTGAATTCTCTTAAACCCAGAAACACCCTGTATATCTTTAGTATTCTCGGCGTTCAGCAGAAGGCCTTCCTTCCTACCACAGGAAACTATGCACTGGTTTTACAGCGTGGAGAAACAAGAATCAGCCTAATTGTACCAATCTGTTCAAAATTGACTTCCAGTTTTCAGGAAAGCTGGTAAATTTGTAAGTAAATGTTTCACCTTATTCCCTTAACAGAAGGGAAGTGTTGCAATGAAGCTCACCAGTTTGTTCATCAGATCTTGCATCCTTCATCACAGCTTTCAAATAATACATGAAAAAATGGCTACAATTCTCTAAACTGAATAAAACCATGCTACATACTCAAGTAAGTATCATTCCCATTCATCCATTATAATTAAATGAGCACCAGCTGTGGTTTTAATTAAATACCAGACCAATAATGTCCACAGACATGGGGCTGTAATATAAAAGGACACTGCTAATTTAAAAATCTCAATGACAACCAACTTGTTCTCTGAACAGTGGAACTAATGAGGTGGACTTCTTGTGGATTTGTCTTTGTCCTCTTCCCACACTGCAGTCTGCTCAGCTCTTCTTCACATCCCCCTAGCACACCCAAATTGGGTAAGAAACAGCGTGAATGTGTCTAGTTTTATATCAATGCTGTTGCCTGCCCTGGCAGCTCCTGCCAAACAAGGGTATCCACTACATGAGTTACATTAGCCTCTCCATTCAATATAGGGTCTCACTTCTCCAAGTAACCACAGGATTTCTTTACTAATTACAAGGAAAGTTTGTTGCATCTTTCACTATCCAAAATTATCCTTTCCTTTGGTAAATTGGACGAGTCCAGTTTCCAAGTACTAATAAAACAATTAAAGAAAGAGAAAGTTACTGAAAGGGCAGACTAGACAATAGGAAGTTATCACACACGGAGGAGGGCTGCTTGGGATACTCTTTGGTTTCATGTACATACCCAGTACACACAGCAACAAGTCAAATGCAAGTGGTGCCTCCTGCTATTACTGCAATACATAATAAGGTTAACAAAGCTAGCGTAGCTGTGTATTCTTGGCAGAGCCAAACTCTCCTCCCCAACTCCTTAAGAAAAGATGCTACGAAGTATTGCTGCATCTTCCCCTAAGGCGTGAGTGTTCCCACAGAGTAGGCTTCCCTGTGTGTTTGTATAGCACACAGTAGGGTGGGAATGGGAACACAGATCTTTGCATGTCGCTGTAACAAACAAGGAAACATCTGAGCAAAGAGATACAGTCAACAAAAAAGTAATTCCGGAAAAAAAAAGCTCACATTGAGAATTCAAATTTAATAATCCAAACTATTAAAGTTGGAGAGATTAAATTTAAAAATTTCAACTGGAAGGCAGTAGGTCAGTCATGACTGTAACTGCAGTATTGAATCACTACGGGGTATGACAACTGAGAAAGAGAGAGGAGAATGGAGATAGCCATATGGCACACTGCTTTTTTTCTCCCCTCAGCACACAGTGATAGAAAAGGCAGAGTTACTATCACTAACATTCATAACAGACATTTATAGTTCAAGGCAGGCTACCTCTTAATGACACACATTATGAAAGATCAAAACCTCAGTACTGTGTAAAAATTGACACAGATACCACAAAGATGTCTGTCTGTACAACATATTGGTCTGAACCTTTAGGCAACAGCTCCCTTGGAGAACTACTTCATACAGAGAAAACAGCTCATTGACAAAGCTTGTATTGTTCATAAACTTTATACCAATCCAACACAGCTACTACTGAATTCCGCCAAGAAAAACCCCACTATGTGAGATGTTGATGCACCCAAATTGTCCAGCAGGACAGGCAAAGTAAACACATGTGAGAACAATAGATAGAAAAGCAATCAGACAAGCCAACCAACTTGCTTCTCTACAACCATCCAAGGAAACATTTCTTTCAAAGAAGAAATTAGATGCCTACTCTTAACAAAAAATGCATGACCTCTCTTAACTTAGAAGGTACAATTTCTATGAAATTTTCTGCAATGACAACAGCAGGTTGTTTACTGAAACATATATACATCACATTTTAAACCAAATACTATCCTGCCAGGTGTTTATATATTAAATATATAGTAACAATTATTATTTATTATTATTAATATAACAAACTGTGCATAGCATGCTGTCTTTAAAATGCAAGCCACTGTACAGCTAAGTTTTGAAAGATACAATAATAAAAAAAAAAGCACAAGCTTAGGATAAGCAATCTCCTGACCTCTCTTCCAGTCTCCTTTATGACTGCAGTCTCTTCCCCATTATACCTGCTTCTACAAACATCTCATACAATACTGTAGACATGATTTAATGACATATATTTTGCACACTGCTTTTGCTGCTGGGTTTTATGAAATATTCTACGCAGGTACAATTAAAAACAGTATTTGCTGGCAGTCAGGCTTCTCAACAATTTTGTGGGGAAAAGAATATAAAAGTGGATGGGACAGTAGTATGAACTGAATGCCAAGGAAGCAAAGGACTACTCACATGTCTGTAGTATATATGGCTGGAAGTGCTCTGAGGCCAAGAACAGAACAAGAGAAAGATGCAAAGGGCAATGAAGGAGGGTGCTTAAAAGATGACAGGTCAAGGTTAAAGCGCTGCAAAGCAGTACAATTACTCTTATACTTAGCATTGTTCCCTGCCATTGTGAACTGTGATCCTCATCACTAAATTTGATCCACGTTTTTCTTTCCCTCAGCCTGGAACCAGACTAATTAAACCACATTGCTAAAAGCAGTTGTACCCACTGCATGTGTTTGCTATTTTCAAGACAGAAATCACAAAAAGGACTTGAGCACACCCTTCTCTGTGAAAATTAAAGAGCTAATGTTATCTTTTTCATCTTGTTTCCTGCCTTCCTCAGCTACAGTACTGCTGCACATCAGCTTGGGAACAGATGTTCAGAAGTGTAACCTCTGACACAACAAGGGAGCCATAAAAGCACTGAGATCATGGTAAGGGGATACCAACCCATATACCAATACAGAGCAGCCAAACACCAAACGACCAACTTACTTGTTCTATGTGTGTCCTCTGCGAACGACTGATAAACCCCTACACCATGGAAGAAGGCTCAGAGGAGATGGGCCAGGGCTCTGTGCCTGTGAAGCTCAGGGAATAATGCAGGGTTTTACTGATCACAGCTGTTACAAAGAAGCTGACTTGACCTCAACACTGAGCGGACCCAAGGGTGGTCTTTGCTTTAGAAAACAGCTGTCAACAGCTGAGTGCATCAGCTGGTGGTGTAAAGGTTTCCCCTCAAGTTCATTAAAAGAGTGTGACTGTCTCCCTGAGTTAGCCAGGCCAACAAAGGTGAGGTGCATATGGGGCTCTGCACAACACAGCATATAACACCCAGGAAACTAGCAAAAAAAATTTCAAAGAAAACAATGGGCT